GTGGAAATATGTAAATACCTCAAAAAACTACAAAAAGAATAAACATTGAACAAAAAATCAGAAAATTGCTTTATTCAAAGTAAAATGAAAATCTACCAACAGTTCATATCACCAAACAAATTTGACTTCAATGTTGCTATATTCAAAGTAAAATGAAAATTTACATCCTAAATTTAACCATCAGACACTGAATTCCATTCCCAATCACCAGAAAATCTAATTTGCCACCATGATTATCCATGACTGGTGATGATCAAGATTTAATTTTACAACGTGACTTCTCATGTGACTAGTGATGATAAACATCTGATGCTATCAATAAACCCAATGTTATAACTACAGTTTTCCAGTTGAAAGTACAAAATACGTTTCCAGAAAACATTTTAGGAAATGTAATTTTTGTATTCGATAGCAGCGATAAGTTTTGTTTGTGTTTCAAAGTTAAGATAAACGTGAAAAGAAAGATGACTTGCATAATTTCAGAACAACGAAGCTAAAAAATAAAATATATACACAAATATGTGGTTACACGCATTGTATTAGACAAGTAAATAAATTTGCAAGTGGTTCCCAATATCGTTTGTATTGTGTACATCAAAAAAGTACACGTTTTCCCCAAAAATAGGATTTCTATGAGTTATTTGAGATATCAGGCAAAGTTAACCTCACTTTGTAACAGAAGCTAGAATACCACAATCCAGTAACGAAGCAATCGATGAACTTTCATTATTGACTATCATAGAATTTCTACAATTATTACCATCACAGTTTTGTAAAGACTCAACTACTGTATTACTACAGAAAATCGATATCAATGTAAATTTTTCAAAAAATGCAGGCAGAATCTGAGCAGCAAATAATTGAAAACGAAGCACATATTCATCAAATAAATTATGGTTACTACTTCAATGTAGAAGACTGTTAGATGAATCTGCAATTGCTCTCCTACAGAAAATACCCAGTTCCTCCAAAATTCAGTTTCAAATAACAAAAATAATTGTAATAGAAGAAAGCCCTTATACCTAATATACATAATATACAAAATTCAAATTTGAACAACAAAAACAGTTCCAAATCCAAATCTTAAACCCATTTTATACTTTTTATCACATTAAAACTCAAACCAACTAAAAACTTATAAAAGGGCATACGAGAGTACAACAATGTGAATCAAAATCCAAAAAGATCTTAGTTTTTCCTTTCGAAGTTTGATCAGAATACCCAAAATGGAAGTGCCAAGGAATTAAATTCTAGAAACCCTATTATGTGATCACAGAATAACTATGCAAAATGAAGCAAGATCTACTTATTGATACATAATCAAATTTGACTAATCTTTTAATGAACAATTTTTAACAAGAAAAGACATGTACATACGTACTTCTGTATAATAAAGTAATGTTGAAGGAAGAAGCTTATATTGAACTTCAAAATAGTGGTTATTGAAGTCGGTTTCGACATCCATCAAAGTTGTTCCTAGTAATCTAATTTTTTCTCTTAACATTTATGCCGACAACAGTTTATGGCACAAAGAGATACAATCTTACAGATAAAGAACGGAGGAGTAGGAAGCGGCAACGATGAATTTTAGTGACCCAATCTCACAGATAGATAGAGAATGGAGGAGCAGCAAGCGGCGACGGCGGATTTCAGTAACCCAATCTCACAGATAGATAGAGAATGGAGGAGCAGCAAGTGACGTCAGCGGATTTCAGTGACCCAATCTCACAGATAGATAGAGAATGGAGGAGGAGGAGGAGGAGGCGACGGCGGCGGTGGCGGTTCTCGGTCAAGTAGAGGCGTGCATCCTTGAAACCCTACAAGTCAAGAAGTGTTAGGTTTGATTTTCTTTCCTTTACTTGGGTGGGGTTCACGTAGGTGTGGGGAGATTTTAATGGGTCCATTGGGAAAAGTGAGTATGAATTGACCTTGTACTTAGTGTGGAATTAAAAAGTGTTAATAGAGGCATTTTCGTCTAGATAATTGCAAAATGGACATTGATAA